TAGGATCTATATAATTATGTAAGATATCACGTCATGGTTGCCATCCATACACATGGCTTTAGTTTTCTTTCTCTATTTGTTATTTTAATTGTGGGATATCAATGAAAGATTAAGCATCTTGAGTTAATGTGAGATCATCCAGTTTCTAGATTAAACTCCAATATCAGGTTCCTTAAACTGCTTCTTGGATTTTCTGGTAAAAGAAAACAAGTTGAAGTCTCTCTCTCTCTCTCTTCCATCTCTCTCTTCCTCTCTTACGCATAAACACATACGCACACATCATAAACACATGCACACTCTCAATACTCTGATCATGCTCTCTGTCTTTATTCTTGTACTCACAAACTGTTCTTGGTCTTTCTAATTTTCATAATCATTCTATTTAGAACACTGAAAAATGGGGAAAAAAAGAATAATGCTGTTTAGACTTTTTTTGATGAAAACAATCACTTTACACTGTAAACAGTACACTAGCAGAGAATAGCTACTTTTGATAAAGAATAATGCTCCATATTCTACTAAGAGTATGTATGTGTGCACACTTCTTCCATTGAGTTCTGTAGCTACTATGCTCACCTAAAAGAGACAGGAATTTGCTCTATGTGCGCACAAGTGTGTATGTTTCAAACGTTGCGATTGACATGGTTCCCATTTAGAATTGTTAGGTCATTATTTTTTGATTTGTTGGAATAGAAATAACCAGAATTTTTATAATTTAGTTCCTTGTTTGGTTGAAAATTAAATAATTTTTAAAGATAAGAAAATATAATTTTATTGCTATGTTTTTTTTCAGTCACAGAAAAATGACATCTAATTCAAATCAAATTATATTTAACTGGCAAACATTTGATTAGAGCCCACAAATTATAATATATTAATTATTATAACTGGCATAATAATGCAGTGTTTTATCTAACTGGATTTTTAAGAGTTCTAATACAATTTGATATCACACTGAAGGGTTAAAAGAATCAAAAATCTTGGAATGCAACCAATTTGGATTTCTAATTTTACAGTGCTATAAATAATGATTGAGTTATTTAGGCTACAATTTAGCTGTTGGAGCCAAGCAGAATATAGATGAAATGAAGAGGGATGTAAATGCAGTATCGATGAAGAGTAGCAATTTTGTAAGTGCATCCTGAAATTAGGCTTTAAATAGTAATTGATGATGCAGTTTACACATATTATTCCGTAATAAGAACCTTTCCATTTTGTGCTAACAGGATGAATTTTGATTTGTGGAATCTTTCTAAAGATTATGCATTGAAAGATATGAACAGTTTATAAACCTATTCTAGTTTCAATGTGTCTAGTAGCACCTACCTGATTCTCTCAAACTACCATACTATATTAACATATTATTGCATTTTTCCACAGATGGTATGGAGTGAACTGTAAAAACAAGCATGCAATCACATCAATGCAGACTTATTTCCTTAAAATGTCATACTGTATATGATTTATTATGTTAACACTCAACCACATCATATTATTTATGTTTTGTATATTCTGAAAAAGTGCTGCTTGACTGACATCGTCCTTTTTCTTTTGTAAGAAATCAACAAGATAAATGCTTCAACAATCAAAAAAACTTAAAAATTCTAACATTGTTCTTAAAAGATTTATACTTTTCTGATAAATAATCTAAGATACAGCACCCTTGTCTTTCATTTGATATTAATACATGGTGTTGTACTCAACCATTCTTATTCCCCAAAAATAAATTCCAAGATACTATTTTTAAAACCTTAGGCCATCATGCTGTCAGACGTCACAAGTATAGCTACCATATTGTCATATTTGTTTTTTTTTTTCTTAAAGGTGCAATGCTTGTAAATGGGAAAGTATTTTTTTTAATCTAACTGGATTTTTATTCTTTAGCATACAATAAATTTAATGAGAACTAATCTAACAATATTGTGTTTTACTAGAAGAAATAATGAGACTTTAGATTGACTCTGTGTCATATTTAAGAATACAGCATTTCTTAAAGGTTAAATACACCAAATTTTTAAAATAATCCAGAGAAAGAGACTTTTACTTTGGAGTTAAAAGCATGGCAGAAATTCTCTATCACTCACTGTTTCATAAGTTTGTACCTCACAAAATGCATAGACAGGAATTTAATATAAAGAATTAGTTCATTTGTACAGAAAACATATCTTAACACTTTTTGGCAAACCAACATAGGTAAGCAGCTCTGGAACTGCCAAATTAAAATTTGTAAATTTTTAGCAAACTAAAAGTTTATTTTTAGGTTATTATTCAACTATGGTTGTAATTTAAAACCTGAGGCTGTGCACTGGTTGTTAGCTTAAAATTACCTTTCCTTATAACATTGTGCTTCCATTGTATAACAAATAAAAATTAACAAGAACTAGAAAAATTTGTTGTTGAACAGTGCTAGGACATACAGACAAAAATACCAATACATGTTATCTACTTATAATATCGGTTTAAGTAATATCTAAAGGGATATAATGGACGTTAGAAAATGCTTACTTATGACTGAATTACATACAGCCAAAAAAGTTAAATATGTATCAAATAATGTTTAATTGGATTTATTATATGCACTATATACAGATACTAAAATGTCTCAAAATTGTGCCCTATGGATACTTCAACTTTGTTTAGGCAGGTGAGTTCTTATGGAGCAAATAAATTATAGAATCAAATTAGAGAAATGAATGAAATCTTTGTGATTCCCAAAGCAGTAAAATGTTTGGAATAATTTATTGGTAAATGAAGCTACAATATCCTAATGGTAGGATCTATATAATTATGTAAGATATCACGTCATGATTGCCATCCATACACATGGCTCCTGTATCAAGTACTATATATTAATAGCAAATTGATACAGCTTTACCAGTATAATCTCAAACATTCCAAAAAACTATACTACAATGTTTTTTTTCAGTTTATGTTTTCTAGGGCATATGCTTCCAAAACATGTTGTCTTTGAAGACAGACATGTAGAAAACATTATTTGTAAACCTCTAATCTTCGATTAAACTAAAGTACATTAGGTATTTACTTAATCCTGTTACTTGTGAAAGCTGTCCAATGACAAACTGATAAGGTCTATGACTTAAAGGAAAAAAAATGGGGGAAAATCTCTGCATATTTTTTAATGTATAAAAACAACTCAATATCATGATCCAAGGAGATGATTAACATTGTTAAGGCTGTATATTCAAGCACTGTATGTTAAAAGAGCAATGGTGTGAATTTACGCAGTAAGAAATGTCCTGCATTATGGATGGTACAGTAATTAAAGAATGATGCTTTCAACAGCTGATTGTTGGTATACACTGGCTACTGATAGCAGTACAGTATGGAAGTTAATAAAGGTAGCAGAAGATGATAGAAATGAATTCTGAAAGATGATAGCCAGTTTTCTCCAGCAGCCAGCCTGGTAACGAAAACTCAGAATCTTGGCCTGCATTTTAAATGAAATACTCTTTTTTCTCTTCAGCATTGACTTGGCTGCCTTCAGCATTGATAATGGCTGTGTCAGCGTCTGGTGCATCTTCAGCTCCTTTCGCTTCATTTGTTAAATATGTTCCTGTGTATATTGGAAGAAAAATATGTTAGCTCTGTGAGACTAGTAAAATAGCCAGCATTAAAGCTACATTCAATTAGGAAGGAACTTATGCCAGATTTCTTATATGTTGAAATATACACTGAGAGACATAACAAGCCGCAAATCACCCATCTAAAGTTGTACCGTTTCTTCAGTTTTCAGCTATGTGTTGTAGGTGAAGCTGTGGTTTGGTTAAGTAGAGGCAAGAGCCAAATTGAAATGGACAATGAGTAATTCTGACTTCTTTAATGATGATGGATAAAGAGCATGCGAGCCATATAGCTGTGGCAATCAGGGTACTTTGTTACAATATTGATAATGATCACGTCAAATTTGTCATCATTCACTTTGGTAAATCTATTTAAAGGTAGATTGTATCAATAGTTTGCTACCTGGCCTGTTGGAAAATCTCACGTATTTTCCTCACTAATATGGCTACACGTTTCCATATACTTAAAAACAAAAACATTGACCAATGGTTATAGTTGGATTCTGGTACTAGAAAGTTATAAACCTTCATCTTTTTTTTTTTTTTTTTTTATGAGCTAGTGACCCGCTCTGTGACCTTTGGCCATGGGCTAAACATTATTTTGCTAAGCCAATCCAACTCTAAAGTCATGTAAAATAATCAAGAATTCCCTGAAACAATCTCTTTCTTTCACTTCACACACGCATACTCACAGAAACATACAGACACCCAAATATTTCATAATGAAGCTAGTCTTCATTTATTTCACCAATGTTAAGAGTACTCTAATTAAATATAACCTACCTTTATGTCTTGCCAGATATCGACCGAGCAGAAATATAGAACACAGCGTGACAAATACAACTACAGCCACTATTCCTCCTATAAGAGCATGGTCAGGGCCAGTCTGGCCAGCCAGAGCATTAGGATCTGGAAAAGAGCGAAAAATATTATTCTAGTGTGTGTGTTGCTTATGTATAAAACACATATCTACATTGGAATGAGTTATTTTGAAAATGTGCGCAATTTTATTAAAATAAAATCACATTAAACTGTATTACACCAATCGCTGAGTCAACAAATATTGTATGCCTATAGTATACAAGGTATATTATATATAACAATATAACATTTGCTACATCAATACTATTACCACTGAGCTTACATTTTAAGGGAAAGATTGGATAAACAAATATATGATATATGATACAAATATATGATATATGATACAAATATATGATTTTGTATAGTTGTATGACTCCTTTTTCCTCACCTTAATCTGAAGATGCATGTATATGTTTGTGTTTGTGTGTGTGTGTGTGTGTGTGACAGACACAACTACACTATTATTTAGATAAAATTATGTCATGGGAAAGACTGGGGCTGAAGACAATACTTTGAGATTTATCATTATATCAGTATTATTTAAAACTATGGAAATTGATTAACTCCCCCAGGAATGTCTACACAGAAGAAGAGGTCTGAGAACTCACCACTGGGGAACTCCCATATTTAAAGCCCACAAAGAGAGGAAGCACTTCCAGCAGAGCAGATTGAGAAGGGGAGAACAGTGTGGTAGGAAGAGATCTCGGAGAGGATAGTGTAGTTAAGGGAAGAATGTATTTTAATGAGAAGGGAGGATCGCAACTTTGCTCTATGTCGATAGGAGGAGGAAGAATAATTCTCAGCATTGAGGATTAAATACCTCGGAACTTGTATTTCTGGAGAAAGTGGTAGAAAAGGGAGGGATTTAGTGGTTTATTTTAACATTCTGCCGTTAATAAGATATTATAGGAAAGAGATCAGCCCAGAAAAGGGTTGGCAGTTTTCAAGCAGAAATAAAAAGACCATAAGAAAGCCCAGACATTTGGGTACTCAAAAGTTTGGAAAATTAGCCATTTATAGAAGTCACATAGTAAGGAACAAAAATGAGTGAAGCTTCACGCAACAAAATCCACTAAATCTCAGCCTTATGGCAAAGATTAGATTGAGTGTACTACCTACTCTCCAAGTTCATTATTGCAGATAGTTTTATCGTTAACTGTTTATAATTTAAAAGAGGGATTTAAGAGGGGGAGAAAGCCAAGCAATAAATTAGGCTTGGTAATAATGCCTTTCAAAACTTCAGTGGTATGATAAGAACATGAATCTGACAAACAGTTTAGGAGTCTACTATGTTTTTAAAGGAACTATTTTGTCAAAGAATCATATGTTGGGACAGAAAAAAAAAGTTTGACTAAACTTCAAACAACCTCTAGACTCCTAAAAGCTGGAAGTGGACTATAAAAGCTGTGTAGCCCCAATGGAGCACATAGTCCCCAACAGCTACTGCAGATACGGTAATGGAATTTGACTGACAGGGTGCAAATCCCCGGAGGGTGGAATTGGGGAAAGAAAGAAAAGAGCAAATGGGAGAATCCAGTTTCTTCAGGGAATCACAACTATTGCCCAAGTCTTTTAATGCCAGCCTCACATGTTTTCATAGTTTCTATGGATCAGTGACTAATCTGTTTTCCCATTCTTCCTATATTTCCAAATGGGAGCACTTATTATTAAGGAGGCTTCTCCTCTTTCTGTTTTATCGTTGTGTGTTGTGCTTGGGTGGAGAGTAACATTAATAACTTGTGTTTTCTTTTTTTTTTTTTTCACCTGGGCTAATGCATCTGAATATGATTAAAAGGATTGCACACATCTGAGGATATTGGACTTAGAGTTGGATACACTGGGTTGATGGGACTTTAGGTTGTCTCTTTGTACAGGGTGTCACAGTGAATTGTGTGAGGGAAAAGAAGTGAAAAAAACCATTTGGTGATCAGAAGAGTGTACTAGGGCAGAGATTTCTAGCTGATGCCAAACATTTCCTGGGCTTTCAGTGCTCAGAGCTGGGCATTTTCCAGCCTGCCTTGTAGTTGGGTGTAACAATGTGATTTGTGTCCCAGACAATTGAATGAAGGCCCAGGTAATAAAAACCTCCCATATGTAACGCTCCTATGTGATCGTGGTGGACAAGTTCAAGGTAAGACAGCGACAGAATAAGTAAAGCTATTGGCCACCAAATATCCACCCGGAAGAAAATCGTCCAACTAAGAATACGTACATTGAAGTGCTTAAGAGAAAAATAAAACAAGAAAAGCTTTATTTTGAAAGATTAAAATTAAAAATTAATTTGTTGCAGCAGCTAGTTTTAATTTAGATTTCTGCTATACATTTTTTATGTTTTCCTAAATGTCTGGTATTGCCCATAAATCTCAAAAATGGAGAAAAAATAAACCTGTCATGTCTTTGAATTCCCTGTTCTGATTCTTTGCTAAATACTTTGGAATCCATTTAAAATCCCACCTCTTGCTCAAGTCCCCATATACAGACTGTCATAAATCATATCCATTTTATTTGGTGAATATCTTTCAGATCTGAGCACTCCTTTGGGAACTTAGAAATCACCGCTTTTCTGACATCTCTGTACCTGTCTTATTTCCTGAAGACAAATTCTGAGAAGTAGTATTGTTGGATCAAAGGATATAAATATTTTGTAAAGGCTTTTGATAAATATTCCCAAAGTACGTTGCAGATTGTACAAATTCACCCTTCATTAACTACCTGAGGGATATTTTGCCCCATATATTGTACTAACATCAGACATTATAATTTTTTAAAAAATTGCCAATCTGATGTGAAAAAAATGTCATCTCAATTTAAATATTTTGGATTCATTAAATTAAATTACAGGTTAGGATAATAATATCTAAATATTTTTGACCATATTAATTCATTAATTTTGAAATTCCCGTCTATGCACTTTGTCCCTTTTCCACTCAAATTTTCTGTTTTAACAGCTCTCTTTACAAAAAGATTAACATATTTAAAATCTCTCTTTATTCTTTATCTGTGGTATATTTAGCCATAGATAAGTCTTACCAATTCATGTAATCAATTCTATCAAACTGCTGTGTTATGACACCTGGCTTGTGGGTCATGATGTGAAACATTTTGCTGTGATCAAATTTTATGCAGATAGAGCTAATATTGTCATTTAACCCTTTAAATTATTATATTTTAATCCATCAAAAATGTATTTTGGTCTATGATTTGAGGCTAAAGTTAAAGTATAACTAATTCTTTTTTGACAGCCAGTAGTCTTTCATAATATTTCTTTCATCAGTAATTTTATGTAAAATTATATAGGGAAGAATGTATTTTAATGAGAAGGGAGGATCGCAACTTTGCTCTATGTCGATAGGAGGAGGAAGAATAATTCTCAGCATTGAGGATTAAATA